TTACACGCAGCACAAGCCTGATTTCGTGATCTGTATGTGAGGCGGCCTTTTACACCAGGTTCACACATACTCCGCTTGCAGTGCGTATGCAGTCCATGTGCGGTACGTAAGCAGTGCAGGAGCAGTACGGACTGTGCTTTCACACAGGAATCTGCTTCTGATCCATGGCTGTTTACCACAAACACAACATTTATCCATTATTTTGATTTCAAATCCAAACATTGTTAGTGAATTTGCTTTTTCAGCATTGTGATTCTTTTTTTACACAGTACAGCAATACAATCTATTAAGTGCACGAGTGCATCTATTATTGCTTATGTAAAAGTGCTCTTTTCCTTTAAACCTAGCCAAAAAGTCATATGTGCTGACTGTGAAACACAGTAGACTTTCATCATGTGCATTTATGGTGTAATTACTACATTTTCGTGTCAATCCAAGTTCATATTTACCACAAACAATGCGATGTCACTTTAATTCAGCATGTGCAGCACAGCAATAGACTCTGTGCGGAAACGATCTCTGCTCTGCTGCAGACGCACCACTACTGGAACGCACTGCCGGACCGCAACCGTGTGCAGTGTGAACGCTTTATAAACCAGGTTTATATCTGAGAGCGCGCGTCCGGCTTTGTGCGAGAGCAAAGGAAATCCACGTGCGAGCGGGGATATTCGCGCTCTCGCATTATATTAATCTACCTTCGCGCTACAACAATGCACTCTCGACATTTGTCATTAAAATATCGCCATATTTAATCCGTTAACATGAGCGTGGAAAAAATACGCACTGCAAACGGAGTATGTGTGAACCTGGCGTTATGTGTGTGTGCGCTGCGAGTGTGCTTGCCATGAGCGCACAGTCTCCAGGAGAGCGCGTGAGTGCTGAATGGTTAAACACAAGAATTAAAAAGAAATACAATTTATAAACTTTAATGCCGATGCGACACTGCCCCGGTTGTGCTAAAGTGATAATTCCTGTGTCAACTGTGCAGCATGCAGCTCGCTTATAGTGCAGACACGATGTGATCTGAAGCAATTTGCACATTTTGAGAGAGAAAGAGAGAGCGCGCGTGGTGATTAGATTCACTCACGCTGTTTGTGAAATTACGTTACGTGAGATCGTTTTTTTGAGATCGGCCTTTTTAGAGACCGCCGATCAATCATCCCAAAGCGATTATCGGCCGATAGTGATCGGTAGCTGTTCAATCGGAGCACCCCTATTTATATCAGTCATCAGCTGTAATATAAAAATTAATCGGTTATCGGTGGTGTGTAAAATTTCTATTTGCTATCTTTGTTTGCTATTTATAATTGCAGACCAAAGGACCATGTTGACAACAGCAAACCCCTGGAACATCTATTCTGAATCATCAAGCCTTCAAACCTCTAGCCTGTTACGTTTAAAACAGACCTCCACCCGACCAGAGTGATAATACTCAGCATGGGTTCATGTTAGCCTGGCAGAAAGGCTTTTAGCGAGATAAAAACAGACACTGCTAATAGATGCCTGAGTGCAGTCTCTGCTCAATCTTGGTGCCCATTAGCAAGATAATAGCATCTTTCAGCAGAATGCAGCTCTGCAATTAAACACGACGGCCTTGAGAGAAGTGCGCTGATCTGACTGAGGCTCTGCGTGTCAGCATTAAGCTTCTGCCTTTGCACATTTATTGCATAAACCATTTTCGTCCATCTCGGCTCTTAGATGCACACAAAGGAGAGGGTTAAGGAGATGAATGGCGACTAGGCTGCTGGACGACAGGTCATGCCCTCAGCACAGAGTAAAAACGGCACTTCCTGCTGTGGTAAATGCCAATCTGCTGCTCTGGTCATGCTGTTAAAAAAAGAAGCATATGTTCCATGAAAAAAGGGGGTGTTTTCTTTTTAGCACAACAACAAAAATATAATTGAATGGATCGAGGAAATAGAAACGGGCTTCGGCCCTGACACCAGAACCAATTATGTTGCTAGCAGACCTATTTCTGGATTGACGGGTACAGAAATGCATTTGAAAACCTACAATTTGGCTCTTTGTTTAATGATTCATCGCAGCTATACTGTATACAGTCTAGTATACAATGAACTCATAGACATCAATGATTCTTGGAAGGGATAGAAACAGAACTTAGCAGTTTCTTAAATATCTGCAAATATATCTGTTGTGAGGTTCGAACTGAAGATTGTAAAATCCCAATTTTAAGCCAAAATATGTGGGAGGACAAGTGAAATTTTCAACAAAGTCCACAGGAAAAAAAAAAATCTAGTCAGGCGTAACACCATGTTCTGATTGATGCTACAAGCCTCCAGCAGCAAGCAGTTTGTCTCTCCACACTGAACGTAAAAAAATCGAACGTGAAAATCTGAACTGAACTATGACTCCAAAAGTGTCAACATGAATGATATACCCAGTGGTGGACGAAGTACACAAATCAAGTACTTGAGTAAAAGTACAGATACGTATAATAAAATATTACTCCAGTAAAAGTAAAAGTACTCCTTTTTCAGTTTTACTCGAGTGAAAGTACAAAAGTACTCGATTTTTTATGTACTTAAGTAAAAAAGTACTGATAGATTTATTTAGCAATTTTATATAGGCTACTTAATTTAATTTTATATTAGCACATATTTTCTATAATCCTACTCAAAATACCTGTTTTTTTCCCAAAATAACCGCTATATGGAGTCAAGATATATTTTTGTTGTTATGGAATATGTTGACGAGAGTGATGTAGTAATGTTCACTGTGAAGCTTACACTGTGAAGTACCTGAGAGAAAACAGATCTGACCATCTGATTTACACCAGTAAGAAAAAAGTGTTTTAAAGCCTGTTGTTTTGCAGAACATCACAGTTATATATGACATGAGAATAAGGCCTGAAGTTAGGAAGAACATCTTAAGGAAAATATAATTATATTTTCATAATGATTTTTTTCTTCTCAAACCTTGTCTGTGGTGTAAAAACACCCCTGGCCAAATGCCCCCAGAGTTACTGTCCACCACTGGATATACCCCAGCCAAACATTTTACCATATGCTTCCTCGACCCCTAATTCACATACTTGTTTCTCAGAAAAACAATGCTACAGCCCATTATTCTACTTTGGAATGTGTGTTCCGTGTCGGAATGTCTGTGTTTTGGTCAGTGTGATTCTGCACACCAGGATTTACCCAATAGTATTTCAACACTGTGAGTTGCCAGTTGGTGGAAAATACAGCATATTGCAGCTATGGAAGCCAAAAAATTAACTAAGTCAGCGATCCCAAACGTCCTCCTGCCCAAACTAACTCAGCTCTCCGTTCCCACCTCCGTCTGTCAGTGGATCACCAGCTTCCTGACAGACAGACAGCA